CCCTGCCCGGACCCGTTTAAGGGCAGGAGAGAAAGGGGGGCTGGCTGTGAAGCCGTGTCTGGGCATCTAGAATCTTGGGGCGTGCGAGTTGTTCTGGAGTCTTTTTGAGGTTGAGCCTGGGAACCCAAGATGCCAGACACCCAGCCTCTTCCGCGGCCACTTGGTTCGGACAGGGGCTTCGGCCCCCACGAGGGATTGCACGCGTGATTGAGCCGATGCCTGGACAGGAGATCCCAAGGGCTCACGCTTCGACCGCCGCTCCACCAGTTTTGGTGATTGTACAATAAATGTATGTGGGCCCATGGGTTGTCTTCTGGGTGTCCTGTAAACAGGGCTCACGAGGCAATTTCTGGAGAAACTTTGATGCCCCCCCTCCGGATCTCTTGCAAATCAAGGAATGGCTATATTTCCAGTTCCATGTTGACCCGAGCACGACACTGACATGTCTATTCTACACTGGGCCTCCAGGGGGGCCAAAGAGCAGGTCTGTCCGATTTTGCGATCATGGGGGGATAATTGGACCAGTTCTGGGGACCGCAAGACGCGCCTACATGAGGGGTGCAGGATATGTCGTCACGATACAAACCATTGATCGTCGCGCGGATCAAGTTGTCTTCGTGAATGTTTGGGGGGCCATCCAGGAACAAGCCTCCACGCGGCGCTGCCGTTGATGGGCGGGGCGCTCACCTTGCGCTCCCAGTTGTCAGAGGAGATCCCAGCGCAGAGATAAATATAGTTGCGCGAGCGCTGACTGAGGAGGCCCTGGATAGGCACCGTGCGTGGAAGGAGTTGCAGGCATAGCTCCAAACCAAAAGGGCCACACTTCACTCGACGGCGCAGCCGTCCGAGCGAGGAGGGCCGCCCCCAAAGAGAACAGCGGTCTGCCTCAAAAGACGAACCCTCCGCAGAAACGACTGGGTGATGTCGAGGGATCGAGGCCAGCCAAGGCTGCCAATATCGGGAAGACCACCGCCCACGCGGAGCAGAAAACTATTTTTTCTGAAACCTCAATTTCCGATGCGCCCGTGAATGTCCCGTTGGGGGGCGGTTCTGCGGGCGTTGGTGCCGCGAATGGCGCTCCGAGCGGAAATGCTGCTTCCAGTTCTCCCTCCGCCGGCGCAGCCGGGGGTTGGGGGGCGTCGTCTGGGTCGGGATCCGGCGGTGGTAACACCGGGCGGGATCCTGGCGCGCCGAATGGGGGTGGGTTGTGGCCCGCCTCCGGGCCCGGGCCCACCTTCAATTTTTATTTCGGGGGGAACGGGCGGCGAGTCTGACCCGCCCTACTATGTGCACGATAAGCAACTTGGTGGTTCTGCAAGCCCTCAATATCTCATGCGGGAGGATCTTCAAGGTCTGGATGCAGAAGTAAAGGGGGGCGCTTGCGGAAGCACGCCCCTGCAACATATTGCAAAACAGGATTTCTGGGATAATCTGATTTCGGCTCATCCTGGAAATTTCATCCCGGGCCAACGCCCCCATGCAGTTCATATTCTGGTCTTTGAATGATATTTCCGACGGAAGCCACTGTGGCCTCAAGGGACAGCGGAACGAAGATGGAGAACGCTGAGCCTCAAATGCTAATTGCGATACTCGGCCAATTCTTCAAACCAGCCGAGAGAATGATCGACGAGGCGGTGATTCGCTTCAAGACGGGGGTCATCCATAGATGTTACTTTGGCCGGGGCCATCGATGTTGGCAATCGGATAGCGGCACATTCAAGATGAATGCCATGTGATGATATCGCCACTTTGCTGCGGGCACGTATGATTCAGCGCGCTGAACGGTGCAAGGCTGTGGGGGTTCAGCGTGTAATAATGAGTTTGGATGGCGTTTGCCTGTGTCGGAAATGACGTCATGCCCCGCTCGATCCATGCCATTTTGTCGATCAGCATGAATTTTGCGCATTGGGCAAAAATGGTGCACTGGCAAGGGAGGCCGGGGGCGACATAATGGCGGATCATATGCTGAAAGCGGCAAAACTTGCGGCCTGTTTCTTCTGTCAGCCCTCTGGCGGCTCAGCCGCCCAGGGGTGGATCTGCGAAAATGAGCTGCGAGAAGACTTGCTTGCGAAGATAGAAGTTGCGTGTGACGAGCATGTGCTTTACTAATTGGTGTCGTAACGGGGGCGGCGCTCCGACCTCGACTCTAGGAGCGGTCCCGTTTGCTGAGCCACTTTTGCATAGCTCCTTCCCGGCCACCTCGCTTGGCGCGGGGCAAGGGGCGCTACATTCGTTGTTCTCACAGGAGTGGCGAGATTTCATTTCGAAAGGGAACAGGGCATCCGACTTATCTGCGATGGAGTGAACCCCTTTTTTTCTTCAAAAGGAGCTTGCCATGCATCCCCGGCATGCGCCCTGAGGGAAGAGACGCGCGGCGCACCGGGGAAAAGATCCTCATTGACCAGTTCATGCGACGAGCAAGAATATTCTGGAAGGATCTCAACCCAGCGTTCAGTCCCCCGCCCAATATGCCAAACGGACGGTTTGGCGAGCCTCGGGGGCACAGCCCGTAGCCAGGCACGGTGATCGTTGTCGCCAGCGGAGCATGAGCGCGAATCGGTGGCGTTGGTTGGGCGCTTCGACGAGATCAGCGAGGAGGTCGTGCAGGGCCGCGGCGGCGGTGGCGAACGTGTCGGCCTGTTGGTTGGAGTACTCGGCCGTAGCGGTCACGTGGCCGTCGGCAACACCTTCCTCGCCACGCGGAACAAATCGGGTTTGGCCTGTAACAGTTGATGGATGCGTTCCCAGAGGTTTTGGTTGAGGGCCATTGCGGAGAGACGGCGTTCTGCCCAACAGGGCCCAAAACTCGTCGTCGACGACGGCTGTTTGACGACGGAAGCATGGGCGCGGTGCCCAGCTGTGGCCAGAAGGCTAGGTGAAGCCTCAGCTCGCTGCGCAGTTGGATACAGGCCGTGGACGCGGGCTGAGTCGTTGATGCGGTGGTTGAAGCCGTAGATGATGCCATGCGCCGCGCGGGCGAGCAGGTGATGTGCTTGGTGGGTGCAGGCGCCGTCGGCAGCTGCGTAAACCCATCGCCAACCCGTGACGGGTCCACGTAGTTTATGCAGTCGTCGCCTTGTTCGTCCTCGGGGCTGGGTCGGGGATGCCTGGAGTGGCGGGTTTCAGGACAAGTCCGTCTGGAGGTTGGGGAGCCTGGGGTCTTCGTTTAGGAGCCCGACATGCATTGTGTGGGGTGGAAGCGTTCGCCACCGGGCCTCCGAGACCATGTGGGTCAGGGGGCGGCGCTGATGAACCCATCGCGGTCAGCGCCAGGGAGTGTGCTCTTGGGTCTCTTGTTCCTGGTTGCACCAGCATCTGAATGTGGGCCCGAGTTTTCCGCTGCTGAGTGTGGTCGCCTCCGCGCAGGTCGGTGGAAACCGCGCTGGCACTGTGAGCAGGCTTTGCCCTTGGTGTGGGCCTGCCAAGTGGTGGCACAGATTCCTCCAATGCCCGGTGAGACTTGCCTGAGAGATCCTAAGGCGTGCCCGGTCTCACCAGTATTCCGCAGGAGGGCGCGCCTCTGCGAGGCCCTCAGAATTTGCGTGAACGTGGCGACGGGCAGGTAGAACCGCGGTGGGCCTGTGTCCCAGTCATCGCGGAAGAGGCCTAACGAGGGCTAGGAAAAGCTGAGCTGTGCCATTGTCTGCTATAGGTGCCCGATGTTGCCGCCGCCAAGCTGATTTCGAACGAGCGAGAGAGCGAGAGAGAGAGATACACAGAGAGAGCGAGATAATAAAGAGAGAGAGAGAGAGAGAGAGAGAGAGAGAGAGAGAGAGAGAAAGAGGGGCATCCATTTTCACATATATATATATATACACACATGTGTAGATAGCTATTAATACACGCGTACGAATGTATGTATGGTTGCACTCTGAAACAAGTGACAAACATGGTTGTGAGTGCATGGCGCACTGGGGTCGTTGGTGGGGGTGTCATAGTGTTCTGTAGAATGTGCGTCGGCCGTGGGGGCCGAGCGGAACCACAGCTGGAGTAATGCGGTGGATATGATGTCCGTCCTTGGTGCCTTTGTTCCTCCTGGCCGTCCTGCCTTTGCTGCTCTTTCTTACACCCGTATTCCTTGTACCTTTTTAACGTCGTGTTCCTCGCTCCTTCTCGCTCCTTCCTTCATCGCTGCTCCTTCCTGCTGACTCCCGCCTCCCTCTTCTGCCAGGGCCTGCTGCCCTGAGCGGGTGGCAGGACTTTCGGCGCCCCGTGCGCAGCAGTAACAACAAGCCCGCAACAGCACGCTCTCTTTCTAAAGCGCGAGTGTGTTAGAATATTGCGCATTGCTTCGTCGGCGTTCAAAATGGTCCGGGCCTTGTTTCAGCATTTTCCCCAAATAGTGCTTGACATTAATTTGTGTCTTTTGATTATCTCGAGAGCTTGGTTGGGTATTGTGAGTTTTCGGCTGGTGCCCGCCCGTGGGCGCCCGCTGGCGCCCCGTGGGCGCGCCGCGCTGGGGTGGTATGCCGACGTTCCGCCTGGTGCACGCCCGTGGGCGCCCCGTGGGTGCTCGCGGGCGCCCCACGCTGAAAGGGTATGCCGAGGTTTCGCCGGGGTGCCCGGCAGTAGGCGCCTCGTGGGCGCCCCGCGCCTGGGGCGGTGTGCCGAGGCTTCGCCTGGTGCCCCCCCGTGGCGCGCCCCGCTCTTGGAGGGGTTTGCAGAGGTTTCGCCTGTTTTCTGCCCGTGGGCGCCTCCTGTTTGTGGGGCATGCCGAGGTTTCGCCTGGTGTCCGCCCGTGGGCGCCTCGTGGGCGCCCTGCGCTGGGGGGGCATGCCGAGGTGTCGCCTTGTGCCCGCCCGTGGGCGTCTCGTGGGCGCTCCGGTGGTTTGCATCACGTAGATCGCACCACGCAGATTGCACACCATGGCGTGGACCACAGCTTGCACCTCCGTATAGCTTGCAACGCATAGCTAGCCCAATGCATATTGCACCACGCAACCACACAGGTTGCACCATATAGCTTGCACCACATAGCTTGCACCAACTACGTTGTGCCAGTCCTATCCTACGTGGCCCAATTGGAAGACCTTCCCCCAGGATGGGAAGACCTGGAGGCCAGATGCATGAAGAACTTGGTGCGCTGCCCAGGGAACGGCCCCCTTATTAATGTTGCTGCCATACTTGGATTTGACGAGGATGCCGAAGTCTTCGCCAGCGCGTCATTCATGGCCAAGGCAGCGAAATTCCGGATCGTCGCCAGGGAGGCCGGCTCCACGGGCGGGCTATGGATTGCGGCGCGGTCGCAGGCACTCCGCTGGCTGGAGAGAAACTCTGACAATATAATCCGGGTGGCACAGTGGCGGCCATGATTTGACGGCAGCATTCTCCACACCTTGTCGCGCGCAGTTGAGGACCTCAGCACTCACGGCATTTCTGCCGCCTCCCTGGAACACCATCTGGGCGGACCTCGGCCGTGGACGAGGCCTGCAGCGCGCCGGGTGCAGCGCGGGCTGCAGAGAGCCGCTGTGCGGGCACAGCTCGACACGTTGCCCCCAGAACCGCCGAGTTACAGCCAATCCTTCGGCGAGTGGCTGACCGCTGGCGGCTCAACGTGCTCCCCGGCCGACGGGTCGCACTGTTTGTGGCCGCAGTGTCCTGGTTGCGCGGGCGCTCACAACCGAGGGTGGTCGCAGCCATGCCTCGCACATTCACTATCTGCTGGATGTCGGAGACGGATGCAGAACCGCCACGCTCAATGCATGACGGGGTGCGACCAAGAAGATTCGATCCAGCACTACGCCACGTACCCGCACATCATGGCGTTCGGCGCGTCAAATCTATGGATCCAGCCGCTGTCGCCGGATGATCGCTTAGCCGGCTTCCTGGGCGTCCTGCGCGCGAAGTTGGACGAACACCAACATGAAGTGCTGCGACGGGCCCTGCTGACGACGGCCGCGTATAAGCTGAACGGCTGGTGGCGACACCAGCCTGGCCCGCGCATGGGGCTGGCATCGATGCTCCGTGCTTTGCGGATCCAGCTCAGGGAAGTGATGGCGGCCGACTGGAACCAACACAACGGCCCCGTCGAGGATGAGTTGTAGGGTGCCACGGGTCCGCATGGGCGGCCGATTTTGTTTTAGCTGCTTTGTGGTCTCTCCTCCTGCTCCTCCGCTTCTTCCTCCTCCTCCTCCTCTGCCCGCCGGCCCCCGGCCACCTAGCCGCGGCGCGCTTTTTCGGGAACGCCCAGGGTGGCACATTTCCGCAGGACGCAGCGAGTGGGCGAGCGTACGCCTCCCCTGAGGGCCGCTTTTGCGGGAACCGTTTTCCGGTCACCTGGGGGCCGCTTGGGCGGGAAACGTTTTCCGGTCACCTGAGGGCCGCTTAGGCGGGACCGTTTTCCGGTCATCTGAGGGCCGCTTGGGCCCTCCTTTTCTTTCTCTCTCTTTCTCTCTCTCTCTCTCTCTCGTCGTCATCCCTCCTCCTTCCCCTGGCATGCGAATGGTCCCGCGTCCTGGCCGGGCGGAGGTATGGCCCCGCGGTTCCGCGGGCGCCCTCCCGCCGCCGGACGCCTCGAATGGGCGAGCGTTCGCCTCCCCTGCCTCTTCGTCGTCCTCGTCGTTCGTCTCGACGTCTTCGTCCCTCTTCCCCCCCCCCTGGCATGCGAATGATCTCGCGTCATGGCCGGGCGGAGGTATGGCCCCGCGGTTCCGCGGGCGCCGTCCCGCCTCCGGACGCTTCGAGTGGGCGAGCGTTCGCCTCCCCTGCCTCTTCGTCGTCCTCGTCGTCCTCGTCCGTCTCGTCGTCCTCCCTCTTCTTCCCCTTTGCATGCGAATGATCTCGCGTCCTGGCCAGGCGGAGGTATGGCCCCGCGGTTCCGCGGGCGCCGTCCCGCCGCCGGACGCCTCGAGTGGGCGAGCGTTCGCCTCCCCTGCCTCTTCGTCGTCCTTCCCTCCCTCGTCTGCTCCCCCGCCCGTTCCCCAAGCTTGGGAATTGGCGATTTTCGCCGTCTGCGTGTGCGCGCGGCGCACGCCCACGGTGTTGCTACCGCGGTCGGCCAACCCCAGGGCCCCGACGCTCTGGGTTTGCCTCATCTGCCGTGCTTTGGCCTGCGTGCCCACTCCGCCAAAGGGCGTTGGGTCCTGGATGCACCTTTCCCCATCAGCGTTTGCACCACAATCGAACTTCATTTGTTGGTGATATTTGGCTCCCAACGTACTGTAATACTCTTATGCACGTTTTCTGTATTGCCTGTGTCCTCTTCCTCTTCCTCTGCCTGCCCCTCCGTGCTCGTGTCCTCCCTTCGCTCCTCCGCCTTTTCGTTCCCGTTCCACCCGGGTCCTGTGGCTCCCAATTCTTCACGCTTCGCGTATCCCCACCAGCCCATCTCAAAACAACGACTCTAGCGAAGCATGCCGACAGTCGTCTTTTTCAGGCGTGTTTCCGCCTCCCCCCGCGTATCTCGCCTGTTCCTCCTTCCTCCCGCCTCCTTGTACATCCTCCTTGCGGTGGGAGCGGGAGAACGACGAGGCGGAGGAGGAGGGAGAGAAAGCGCTCCTCGTGGTTTGAGTCGTTCGGGCTTCTCGTCCTGGTGTGAGTCGTTCGGGCCCTTTTTCCTGGTGTGAGTCGTTCGGGCTCTTCGTGGTGTGAGTCGTTCGCTCTTCGTCCTGGTGTGAGTCGTTCGGGCTTCTCGTGGTGTGAGTTGTTCGGGCCCCTCGTCCTGGTGTGTGTCGTTCGGGCCCCTCCTCCTGCCCGTCCAGAAACGACGCCCAGGCGAGTAGAGGGTCGTCCTGATGGGCTTTTCGGCGTCTTGGGTGCCTCGGGGGGGCCTCTTTGGGCCGTTTGGGATCCTCTTGGGGGCCTCCTGGGGGCCTCTTGGGGCCATCTTGGGGCCTCTTGGTGCCTCCTGGGCGCTTCTTGGGGCCATCTGGAGGAAATCGATCAAAGAAGAGGGGAGCTTTAATTAGCGCTGCCCCCTCAGAAGGCCAAAATGGGGCCAAAACCTTAGTAAAATCAATGATTTTGGCTTGAAAGAAGAGGGGAGCTTTAATTAGCGCTGCCCCCTCAGAAGGCCAAAATGGGGCCAAAACCGTAGTAAAATCAATGATTTTGGCTTCAAAGAAGAGGGGAGCATTTTTCTGCCTCCCCCCGTCGGGGCCAGAATCCTCGTGAGGGGTGTCGTTTTTTAGCCCTCCCAGGAGTCGAAAAAGACCCCTCCAACCACCCGCGGGGCGCCCTCTCCAGGCCCAGGGGGAGGGGGTAGGGGGAGGGGTAAACCCCTCCCCGAAGGGGAAGAAGGGGGGTTGAGAACAGAGCGGGCTCTCTAAACCACTCACGCCCAAAGGGCTGGTGGGATTCTTTCGCCCACCTCTCACACAATTGCGCTAGGCGCCTTTGCTTCACCGTCCTCGGCCGGCTTCTGGTGGATCCGGGGCACGCGGCTGTCATTTCATGTGGTCGTGTGTTGGTGCGGCATTGTGCGGAAAGAGTGTTTGGATGTAAAGTTTACATGGTGATTCACGGAGTTTGGACTCCAGCGTTGGCCGCGCCAGATTGTTAGACAATTTTGTTTGGCGCAGTCCCCAGTTTTAGTCTAGAGCCAAACGCTGGCTGAAGCATTCAGCGTTGAATTCCGGCTCTGTTCTAGATCTCGTCCCGGATGATACGTTTTAAGTGGGAATTCGTATCACTCGGCCAGTGGATTTGTTTATCGGGCTTTTCGTTTACGTAGTTATACACGGAGTGCGATCTCAGAAAAAAATAACATACACCATCTAGCTTGCAACGCGCATATTGCACCACACAGCTTGCACCACACAGCTTGCGCCACATAGCTTACGCCGCATGATTCACCGCACAGCTCACACATCCACGTTGCAGTCACTTTCTGTTTTGGACCCGCGCTGGCGACCACATGTTTTTTGTTTTTGCATAGTGCGTTTTAGCAGTGCTTCTGACGTTTTGGTGGGGCATCTTTCTTTGACAGTTTTTTCCGATCGGTTCGGCGCCATGCTTCCCACGCCGTTCTCAAAACAATCGTGCATGTAAGCCAACCGCGAAGTTGCGATAGCACCGAAGTGGACACGTTGACTTACATGTTAAACCCGTTATTCGATATGGTACCGGGCTTGTTCAGAAGGTCATCGTCGAACTCCGAGCGGTATTGTGAGTTGGAGTCGCAGCAGTGGCAATAGCACATATGCCAGTACGACAGCGCTCAAACAAAGACCTGACGCCTGATGCCAGTCACATCGAACTTTTAAGCATGCCATCGTCTTTCTTCAGTCCAGAACGCGTTCGCACATGGTGCCAGCGCGTGGACCCTAAACGGTGACGATGTGCAATATGCAAGGCGCACTTCATTTATCAGTCTTGTGTGCAGGGCCCCCCCCCCTCCTCTCCGCCTTGCTTCCACCTGCGCCCATGCGCAACGTACCCTCCTCTACACTTCAGTTCCGCCTGCGCCGTCACCCGACTTGCGGCGTCTTGACTTTCTCAATGCGCGTGGCTCCCGAGCTCTCAACCTCGTATTTCGTGCGGATTTCGCGCCGTGGGCTGGTTTCTGTTGGCCTTGGGGCTCGAAGCGGTCCTCTGCTGTTCTCAACTCGGAAAAGCCAGCGTCCCGAGCTTTTTCAGGACGCCAGAGGCCTGGGATTGGCGCCTCAAAATCGGTCCCTGTAGCTCTCCTGGAGCACGTTCCGACCAAGATTTCGAGGCGAATCCAAGCGTGGAGTCGAGAGCCTCCCCACAGGCCCAGGAAGGCAAAGACGTGCACATCCCATGCCGCTTCCACCAGCCGCCATCTTCGCCCGCCGAGGCGATCGCCCAGCGCATTGGAGTCGGCGGCCTGGGCCACCTGTTCCTGAAGTCTGAGGCCGCTTCCGAGCCACCACGAGACCCTACGCCGCAGGGGGAGGACGAGAGGACCGCGAGTCAGGAGAGTTGGCGGCGGAGGAGTTGGTGGACGGGAGGAAGCAGGCGCTCAGAGCCTCAAGGAGGACCTTATGGACCTTTTGACGCAGCGTGACGTGCCCTAGAGGACGGAGGCGGGGAAGGGGAGGGGGAAGGGGGGGGGGGACACCTTAGGTCGCGGCCTCGGCTCCGCTGGAGGCTGCCGTCACCACGGCTTGGAAGTCTTGCGGCCGAGCACGGCCTGAATAGCTTTCGGCACTCCTTCGCGCCGCGGGTAGAGGCCGGCTTCGATCCGCTGCGTATTCTCTCGGCATTTTTTCGAGAGGCCTTTCTGATGCGAGGTGGTGCCCGTCCACCGTTGCATATTTCCCGCATCGAATGCAAGATGCGAGCAGGTGGCGGTCCCATTTCCGGAGCTTCTGACTGGGGTGGATTTCTCGTCCTGCTGCCAACACGCGCGCTGCCCCCGCCGAGAACTCCAAGAGGCCCTCGGGGAGAGCCGGGCTCTGCGTCGCAGCAACGCGGATGATCCGAAACAGTGGCACCATCAAAGAGCATTGCGGCATTGCAACCCGGCCCTTGGCGTTCCCCGTTCCAGGGATCCGCCTCCACCGCCCAGGCCCACGCCCGTCGGGCACGCGCCCGCACCAGAGTGGCCGTCAGGGCCCGCTCATCCGCCAAAGCTTTCCCATCTCCCACCGACACCACCGACCCCCTCGAAGCCGCCGCCCCCGCCTTCTTCTCCGCCGCAGCAGCGCCCTGGATTTGCAAGCGCCTGGGGCCTAGAGCCCTGGGCGGGCAGAGGCCTCGTCAATGTGTGATGGGATCCACTTGATGGCTACCGAATGCTCTTGGCGCTTCTGCGAGGCCACTCGAACGCGACTCCACATATCTTGGTTGGCACTGATTCCGATTCTGCTACGAGCAGGGCTGGCCTGCCAAGCGTGAAGAACAGGCTCATGGTCCGTACCAACAAGCATCGGGGCCTCTACTTTCTCCAACGCGAGAGCAAAAGCTAGCAACTCCGAGCGTGTGACGGTCTGTTTGCGCCCGCCCAGAGGGGTGGACAGGCCGCCAGCGATTGACCATCCGCCATTATCATTCGGCCTGAGGGCGCCGACCGCCGTGTGACATCGGCGTTGCCTGTAACCCAGACTTCCCCTCGAAATCAACATGTTGGCTAGAGAAATTTATGAAACCGCCTGAGGCCTGCGGGCCGCAGCCCCTGACCCGGCCCAAAGATGGTCATATGTGACGCAATACGGATGCTGGGCGACTCGGCCACCTTTGGCAATGTGCCGCCGAACTCCAGCAAGCGTTATTCGGAGGAGAGGGAGGAGGAGGCGGAGGAGGAGTCGGAGGAGGAGGCGGAGAAGAAGGAAAAGGAGGAGGAGGAGGAGGAGGAGGAGGAGGAGGAGGAGCGGGAATTGGAAAGGGATGGGGCTTGGAGAGACAATGACCTCCACTATCGACTGGGCGGCTCTACAGAGCGGCCCGGCTCGGCCGGACGTTGCGGCGCAGCCGACCGCCCCCCTGGCAGGCACCTCGCGGTCTGGCCCCTGCCCCCAGAGGACAAAAACAGTTCATGGGCTGTAAGCTGGGGCGGGGGCGCCTGTCAGGGCCGGGTCGGGCAAAGAGGTGCCGACTGGGCTGCGGCGGCGGGTGCGGCAGGCGCGGGGGCAGCCCAGGACAGCGAGGGGCGGGGAGGGTGGACTGCCGCGCTGTCGCTTGGGCAGCAGGGGCCCTCTCGAGTAGTGCTAATGGGCTGACTGGAGCCCGTCCACCCCGCCCCTTGGCAGGGGGGTCCGCTCGAGGGAGGGACCGCGGGGGGGCAAGACGGCGCCTGCGGCTCACGCCGTCGGCCGCGGTAGCCGCCTTGGTCGCTGCAAAGCGCGCAGAAGTCACCGCCGTCGAGGGATCCAGCCGTTGCGGTGCCGCCAGGTCGTTCTCCTTGTGAAGAGAGACTGAGAATTGTTGGGCGTCCCGATTCGCCACGAGGGCGAGGTCCCTGGTGGCGTCAGCCACTCATTCCTTGGCCAAGATAAGTGACGACCCCAGGTAAAAAGATCGGTTTTGCCTGAGGTCGTCATTGTGGACCCTTCTCGCCCGTGCACAAAATTTCCACTCTCCAAAAATCGGAGTGGATCGGGGACTGGTTCAAAGGAACCTTACCAAGCTGGACTACTCTCTCCCCTCTGGAAAACTTGGCGGGTGCGTGATAGTGAACAGGGTGAAAGCTTCAGAGCC